ACATCGAGAGATGTTGTCGCGAAGCTTCTCAGCACGCCGACGAGAGATCCACGGGGACCGGCTGAGGTTGCTGCAGGATGCTCTCGGTGTGCCACGTTCGGAGGAAACGTTGGCGATGCTGGTGAACGTGCGCATCAAGGGGGGCAGCAAAGACCTGGCGCAGCACCTGAAAGGGCTGACGTTGCGCATTCCGTCTAGTAGTAGTAGTAGTAGTAGTAGTAGTAGTAGTAGTAGTGGTGGTAGTGATAATAGGAGTAGTAGTAGTAGTAGTAGTAGTAGTAGTAGTAGTAGTAGTAGTAGTAGAGGGACGAGGACTAGTAGTAGTCGTAGTGATGGTAGTAGTAGTAGTAGTAGCAGTAGTAATAGTAGTAGTAGTAGTAGTAGTAGTAGTAGTAGTAGTAGTAGTAGTAGAAGTCATAGCAGTAGTAGTAGTAGTAGTAGTAGTAGTAGTAGTAGTATAATGAGTAGTAGTCGTAGTAGTAGTAGTAGATGAAGTAGTAGTAGTTGTAGTAGTAGTAGTAGTAGTAGTAGTAGTAGTAGTAGTAGCAGTAGCAGTAGTAGTAGTAGTACCAGAAGCAGTAGTAGTAATAACACTAGCAGTAGCAGTGCCAGTAGCAGTAGCAGTAGCAGTAGCAGTAGCCGTCGTAGTAGAATTAGTAGTGGTAGTAGTAGTACTAGCAGTAGTAGCAGTAGTAGCAGTAGTAGTAGTAGTAGTAGTAGTAGTAGTAGCAGTAGTAGTAGTAGTAGTAGTAGTAGTAGTACCAGTAGTAGCAGTAGTAGTAGTAGTCGTAGTAGTAGTAGTAGCAGTAGTAGTAGGAGTAGTAGTAGTAGTGGTGGTATTACCAGTATCGGCGGTAGTCGCAAACGTAGTCGTCAACGTCGTCGTCGCAGTAGTTGTGTCAGTGGCAGTAGCAGTCACTATAGCAGTGGTCTTTATGGAAGTAGTAGTAGTAGTAGTAGTAGTAGTAGTAGTAGTAGTAGTAGTAGTAGTGGTAGTAGTAGTAGTTGCGGTAGTGGTAGTAGTAGTAGTAGTAGTAGTAGCCGTCGCACCATGAGTAGAAGTAGTAGTACTAGATGTAGTAGTAGTAGGAGTAGTACTAGTAGTAGTAGTAGTGGTAGTAGTAGTAGTAGTAGCAGTAGTAGTGGTGGTAGTCTTAGTAGTAGTAGTGGTAGTAGTCGTGGTAGTAGCAGTAATAGGACTAGTCGTAATAGTAGAAGTAGTAGTCTTAGTACTAGTAGCAGCAGTAGTAGTAGTCCCAGTAGTAATAGTAGCAGTAGTACTAGTAGCAGTGGTGGTGGTAGTAATCGTAGTAGTAGCAGTAGTAGTAGTAGTAGTAGTAGTAGTAGTAGTAGTAGTACTAGTAGTAGTAGTAGTAGTAGTAGTAGTAGTAGTAGTAGTAGTAGTAGTAGTAGTAGTAGTAGTAGTAGTAGTAGTAGTTGTAGTAGTCGTAGCAGTAGCAGTAGCGGTAGAAGTATGAGTAGTTGTTGTTGTTGTTGTAGTAGGAGTCGTGGTGGTAGCGGTGGGAGTAGCGGTAGAAGTCGTAGTCGTTGTCGTTGTCGCAGTGCTTGGGGATATACTAGGGCCTTCTTGGCGATATGTGGAGACATCTTGGGGATATACTAGGGCCTTCTGGGCGATATGTTGGAGGTCTCGGAGCCCTTTGCGGGCTCTCCCGGGGCGCTCTTAGGGCCCTCTTGGGGCTCTTTGGGAGGGGTCTGGGAGGTATCTTGGGGCCATCTTTCGGGCGATCGATCACAGATGGGGCGAGCATTTTTCTCCCCCCCCCCCCCGTCGGGGCCACGATCCTCGCGAGGGGTGTCGAATTTTAGCCCTCCCAGGAGTCGACAAAGACCCTTCCGACCACCCGCGGAAGGACCTCTCCAGGCGAGGGGTAAACCCCTCCCCGAAGGGGAAGAAGGGGGTTGAGAACAGAGCGGGCTCTCTAAACCACTCACGCCCAAAGGGCTGGTGGGACCTTTCAGAAGGCGCGAGGGCTTCTGAGAAGTCCCGCCGCCTTCTGAGAAGGCCTTCTCCTTCTCACTTCCCCCCTCGCTCGCCGCCAATTTGAGGAGGATCAAGTGGGGGCTGGCAGAGCTTGTGACGCTGACCAGCGCTTTCGGGGAGGAGTGTCGGCTTACAGTCAGCAGCCCAGCTTTACTCAGGGGCATGCCTTTCGAGGGCTCGCTCCGTGTCTTACCGCGCTCAGCTGGCAGTCGGCAGTCGTGCAGCGTCGATCGGTTGTGTTTCGATGTGGTCACATCCCGTATCCGATCGAAGCGATTTGCCCTGCTCGAGCGTGGATGTATCAAGTCGTTAGTTTGCGCAGCGATTTGAACCTCCCCAACGAGCGATCGATGCAGATAGGGTACCAGTTCGAGTCAGCCAATTACCATCTTTGCCCCAGGTTGAAGGACTCAGAGTTCCACCGCCTTTCGGAGTGCCCAGCTTGCCAGAGCCAGCGTATCGAGCATGTGGGGCCAGATATCATTGCCGAGGTACTGGCATGCGAGAGTTAAGAGGAGCGGCTTCTTTTTACGAGAGTTTTTTTTCCCACTCAGGGGGTAGATATCCCAGGCCAGCAGATGCCGACACACAGCAGCTAACTTGGACTGATGCGAGCAGGACCGGCACGGACATGGGTGGCGACATTTTCGCGGACGGGAGTTGCTTCAGACATCATTCTTGAGCTTGACAGGGTAGGGAGGGGTGCGACCCAAATCGACAGTTGGGGCGAAACCGTGGGCCAAGCGATTGGGGTGATTCCACTCCATATACAGCTGCCCCCCCCCCCACACATGAGAGTTTGATGCCGTCTCGACCGCTGCTTTGCAAATCACCAGTATTTCTAACGATGACGTTTTCCAGATTGTTCTGACGTTGTTAATCAGTGCGCCCATAGTAGGTCTGAACAGCTTGCTTACGTTCGCCCGTATGCTGAGATGCTTCAGTTTTGCCAGCAAGGTGTCAGCGTCATTGCGGGCGTCTGCGAGGTTTGAGTGCACTTGGACCCTCACGGAGAGATAATATCTGGGCATGGCTTCGCCTGGGGAACGCTGCGGCCGACCTCGCTGCCAAAGCAGGGGCCAACCTTCACCGCCGCTGGAGCGAAGTCCGGGAGCACGGGCTCCAGCGTCATTTACGTATTGCAGAGGCAGTCAGTAAATTTGCAACCAGTCTCCTTCCTTTTTGGCTGGTGTAGGAGTTGGACTTTGTGGGGAGCTGAAGTGGGGTCGGCCAGACGAGAAACACCGGGCAGGCCAGAGTGGCCACAGCAGTCAGGCACAGCAGCCACATCTTCGTGCGTTTTTCCACACATATATATACATAAATACGCATATATACATACATGTATGGTCGAGGGTTTGGCCCGCCCCCAATGCTAATGCCATCGGCCCCCCCCCCCGCGCGATGCCCCCCACCCCCCCCGTGGGCGTGGGCGTGGCGTGGTGGCTCCCCCCCCCCCCTGAGGATGTGGTGTGGGTGTGGTGTGTTGCTGTGGGTGTGTGCGGGGTGACGCCATGGTCCTCCTCCCCCCCTCCCTCCCCCCCTGTGAGTGCGGTGTGGGTGCGGCGTGTGGCTGGGATTGGCGTCATGTTGACAGCTCCGGTGCTCGACGTCGTCGCCGCCGCCTGCTGGTGGTGCCGTCGACGTCGTCGTCGTCGTCGTCGTCGTCGTCGTCGTCGTCGTTGTCGGTGTCGTCGTCGTCGTCGTCGTCGTCGTCGTCGTCGTCGTCGTCGTCGTCGTCGTCGTCGTCGTCGTCGTCGTCATCGCCGTCGTCGTCGTCGTCGTCGTCGTCGTCCCTCCTCTTCCTCCTCCTCCTCCTCCTCCTCCCTCCTCCTCCTCCCTCCTCCCTCCTCCTCCTCCTCCTCCCTCCTCCTCCCTCCTCCTCCTCCTCCTCCTCCTCCTCCTCCTCCTCCTCTCCCCTCCCCTCCCACCTGGGGGGGGGGCCCGAGGACCCTGGGACCCATCCCATCTGGGGGCGGGGGCGGGGCCGTGGGCCCTGAGCCCGCGATCATAGATGTGAAGACTGCCAGGATATTGTTCACACCAGAGATATGTTGCAGGCTCGTAACACCCAGTGCAGTAATTACGCCCTAGTCCTAGGGACTGGCGCAGTGCAGATAATGGGGTCAGAGCTGTTGTTGGTGAGGCTTGGATCGGGGAAAGGGTGCTGCATCCGAGTCACGTTGTAATTCCAGCCAATCCACTCGCTTGTCTATTGCAGTGAGTGTGGTCGAACGGGCACCATGGACATCTGACACTGCGTCGACCAATGCCACACGCCGATTTCTAAGAAACGTATGGATACTCTGCCTAGAATTTAGAAAGGTTCGCTTCCAGCTTATCGCGGACCCTGCGCTGCTGTCAAAGAAGCTCAGCTCGGATCGGTCCGCCATTGGCCCGTGCAGGTCAGCGGCAGCCCGTCCATTTGCTACGCCGGGTGGCAATGCGCCTGAGCGTGACCCGGCTCAGCGCATCGCGACGGTGTCGTCGCCTCGTCGCTGGACGATAAAAGTGTGTGGGCCATTTGACGCAGTTGGCGCCACTTTTCAATTTTCACGCCAGCTTCTGTCACACGCCGCGCCTAAATGCGGCCGGCTTGCCCCCACATCCCCCACCGCACGCTGCCCTTTCTAGTTTTCGCTTCTTGCCCTGAGCTTGCGTATGGCGCGGTTGATCTCTTCTTGTGGATCCCTGTTCCTGGCTTCTGAATGGGCCGGCCGCGCGCGTTTCCCGCTTCTTTCGCTTTGACCTTCTACGCCTCGACTCTGCGCGCAGGGCCGCGACGCCAAAAGTGTGTGTGTGTGTGTGGGTATGATCGCCCGTCGGCTTTTCTGCTGCAGTGCCGCCTACGTGAGATCTTCAGGCGTTCCTGATCTGCCGCGTTGCGTCACAAGGAAACAGTTTCGCTTAGAGAGTGGCCCCCCATCGTTTCCCGCTGGTTGGACCCACTGGTGCGTCGGACGAAAGAATATGTGTGCGCCGCCGTCCGGCGCAGGCTGTGCGGTTGGCGCAGGACTACGAGGCCTCGGGGGTGAGCGACATGTTGCGGGTGCCGCTGCTGAAGCAGCAGTTCCAGAACCTCGCCAGGGCGTCGAACGACGCGACGGACGCAGGCGGCGCCACGACCTTGGCGCTCCGTCGGGCCCAGGAGGGAGGAGGGAAAAGCAACAAGGACCGAGGGGCCCAGGGAGGAGTGATGAGAGGGGGGGGAGGGAAGAGGAAGAGGATGCAGGAATGTCGAGGATGTTTTTCCCAGGGCCTCCTGTGTTCTGGGGTCCTCGTCCTCTCTGCTGCGCTGGGCGCGCCCGCGCGCCTCCTTCTCCCCTCCCTCCCCTCCCTCCTTCCCCGCCCGGACTTCTGGAGACTTAGTGGGGCCCAGGTCACCCACAGGGCGTGAAGGTAGTCGTGCTTCGCGCTGCGCGGTCTGGGCCAGGGAGCGGCTCCTCCACGTGGGGCCGCGCGAGATAGCGGAGAAGCATGGTGTTTCGCGCCGCGCGATGCGCGCGAAGTTGGGTGGCCTAGCCCCGCGTCTCCTCCTCCTGTACCCGCTTCTTCCGCTGTCTCTTTCTCCGCTTTCATCCTATCCCTCCACTTGGGGATGATCAGATCCGCCCCGCGCGTGGGTGTCGGGCCTCGGCACTTCCCGCCCCTCGTGTGGCCCTTTCGCTTGAATGCGACCCTTGCGAAAGAAAGTTCGAGAACCGTTTCTTTGCCCAAAGTGCTGGAACCATCGGTGCCCGAATCTAGCCAATTCCCCAGTCGTTCCCCCTCAGCGTAAGGCCCAGGTGGTACCTCGCCCTTCGAGAGCGCCTCGGATCCAGGATGGCGCGTTCCCGGCCTCCTGGTCCGCACCAGAGGCTCTCCTTCCTTCCCCTCCCCTCCCCGAGGTGCAGATGGCGCAGACGGCGGTGACTCAGACGACTCGGCGTCAGATCTCGGGAGGGGACATGGGCGTCGTCGTCGTCGTAGTCGTCGTCGTCGTTGTCGTCGCCGTCGTCGCCGTCGTCGTCGTCGCCGTCGTCGCCGTCGCCGTCGCTGTCGCCGTCGTAGTCGTCATGGTGTTGGTGGTGGCATCGGGCCGGTGTTGGTCGTCGCCGTCGTCGTGGTCGCCGTCGTCGTCGCCGTCGCCCCACCGTGCTGATGGCATCGGGCCTCCCCCCCCACGATGGGTCCCCTTCCCCCCCCGTAGTGGTGTGGTGGTGCTGTGGGTGTGGCGTGCGTGGCGTGGTGCTGTGGTACTCCAGAAGAGCTCTGGAGGTCGTCGTCGTCGCCGCCGCCACAGTTAGGGAGGAGGAGGGGGCAGGAGGAGGAGGAGGAGGGGGTAGGAGGAGGAGGGAGTAGGAGGAGGAGGGAGTAGGAGGAGGAGCAAGAGGATGAGGAGGAGGCGGAGGAGGAGGAGGAGGAGGAGGGGACCAAAGTCAACCCAAGATGCATCAATGATGCTGCGCCGCAGTGCGCGCACCCTTCCCAAGGCTCCCTCCCCGGAATCCCCTATAAGAAGCATTCCTGCTTGCTGCGGGAAGGTGCCCCTCGAGAGGCGAGCGCCCCTGTGCTCGTCTTGCAATTCTGGCGAGGGTGCCGTCTCGACAAGGAGCTGGCATAGTCAGCTGGGGCATGAAGATGGATGCTATCATTTCGAGCGACAGGCATAACTCGTCGATCACTTCTGGTATTGTGGCGTGGTACATGTTTTACTTTTACGCTACTCGCTGTATTGACATATTTACTTATCCACTTCAGAGCATCATTTTCGTCATTTGCTCAACAGGTGCGTTCATCAAGAAGGACGTCCACCCGTCCAATAGCAGCTGCACAGGCATCTATCTTTCAAGCTGTCAGGACCGCGACGAGGTAGGATCGTAAAGTCCAACGCAAGTGTCCAGCGGGCGCCACCATTAGAAAAAGAGCCGCCCAATCTCCGTACAACCTTTACCCATCGACGTCTGTACATACCCAAAGCCCAAGGCAGCCTTGAGTGACTGCCCTAATACTTGGGGCAGTCTTCAACGACAGTTATGTATTGAAAAATGGAGCTGCAGTCTATTCGTGTAACATTTGTTTGTCATTTTGAATTTTTGTTATATATATGTATATATAAATGCGTATTCAAAGTCGGATGTGCGCGGCGCTCTTGTCTCCCGCCCTTTCTCTGCCAATTAAAGCTGTGCGCGTCCCGCGTAGCTTTCAGCGGAAGAGGTTCGCTCTCGCCCTGCAGATCAAAAAAAAGTGCGCGGCGCTCTGGCGAGAGCCGCATGTGGAAAACTATCGTTTCCATCGGTGCATCTGTTTGAAGCAACTCAGGCGAATGTTCGCGGCTCGAAGGCGCCAGCCGCCTTTCGAGAAAGGACAAGAAGACTTCAAGTCGAGTGCGCCCAGCGAGGTGTCCAGCGATATCCCCCTCTCGAAGAAGGACCGCCCCAAACCCGCGTAGCCGTCGCATAAGTCTGCGCTCGTGGTCGTGCACTTCGCGGAAGCTCCAAGCGGCAGGTCCAATTTGCAGAAGAGCTGTCCTAGATCCGAGCAGCGCTACACGTGTTGAACCTTCGTGTCTTTACATGGGCGAAGTCGCAAGCGAGGACCCTAGTTTGAGGAAGAGCAGTCCTTGATCCCGCTTAGACGTTGCGTGAGAATTCGAGCGCGCGCGGCGCTGAGGCGATAGCTCCATCCTAAACACGTCCAGCCCTCATTCCTTGAAGCTGTTGCGAGATTTTGCAGCGAATGTTCGTGGCCCTAGGGCGAGGATCCGCGCTCCATCCTTGAAGCCAGCGCAAACTTTTCAGATGAGTGCACGCGGCGCACAGGCGATCACCACATTGTGGAAACGATCAGCCCTCCATCCGTGTAACTGTTGCAATTGGTACGATCGGAGGAATGGGTACGGAAGGCATGGCGACGAAGATCGACGCCAGATCTTGTCCATCTTGAATAGGACTCACTGTCGGTATCGCCGGGGGCGTTGTTTACTCGAGGCCCAACGTCGCCAGCCAAACATCGACCGCTGTCGGTCATGGCTAAGTTTTGCGTTTGTTTGTACCCCTTTCGGGGGTGCCAATGCAAGCTGAGTGTGTGCGGCGCTCAGGCGAGAGCACATTTTGAAAACCATCATCCGTCCGTGTAGCTGTTTGGAACTTTCGGGTCGAACGTGCGCGTCGCTGAGTCGATCGCCACATTTTGTTTCCTTTTCCGCTCCGTCCTTGTGGCTGCTGGATACGCGAGAAACTTCGGCGTCATACGCTGGGAGGCAGTCTCTGGCGAAACGCCCGACCCGCCCTACCGACACGTCTGGTGGTCAGACCAGGAAGAGTTATCCGCAAGGACGAGGGGTGGAGGGCCAAAGTAAACCTCCGATGCGCCAGCGATGCTGCAGTACACCCTCCCATCCCAAGTCCCCCCCCATAATCAGGTCCCTGTGTGCCAGTGGTCCTGTCCACTGTGGGAGGCGCCCACCTTGAACGGCAAGCGCCCAGTAGGTTTGACACTTGGGTGAAACCTCGCTTTCTGCAGAGCATCCACCTCCCGTCCTGAGAAGGCTCAAGGAATTGTCCAGCGATGGCCCTCTCTTGAAAAGGCTCTGCCCTCCACCGGTGTGCGTGTCGCACAGTTTGAAGACAGCCGGCCCATTTGGTATCTCTTGAGGATCTCCAGCGAAAAAGGAGGGTGGTTTGTCAGGAAGAGGAATAAATAAGGACACGTCTGGTGGTGCGACAAGAGGGAGTTATGAATCAGGAAGAGGGGTGATGGAGGAGGAGGAGGAGGCAGAAGAGGAGGAGGAGGAGGAGGAGGAGGAGGAGGAGGAGGAGGAGGAGGAGGAAGGGACTACAAGGCTACGAGAGTAACTCCGAGGTCGAACCTCGCTCACCACAACGGGCGCCCCAGAACAAGTATTCCTCCGCGTCTGAGGAGCACAGCTTGAACTCACGCGCGAAAAAACGACGTCCGAGGGTTGAGCAACCCCGTGTAGGTTAGGTTCCTCACCTCGAGGCCGCCGCTGATGGACGGCATCCTGAGGGACCAGGGATCCCCAGCCGCCTGGTCGAGGGAAGCGTTCAGACGATTTGGGAACAAAAAACATATTACGAAGCCTGGCGGGCTGCGATCGGAGACCCGGGCTGTCTCTGCCGGGGCACCTCGCGTTCAGCCCTTGGCCTCTGCGCAGCTTCCTGGTCATGGACGCTCCACAGCACACACAAACAATCACTTCCAAGCCTTCCTCGACGGGGTCCCTCCAGGAACCTGCAGGACGCTGGCCTGCACAGCCGAGTGCCCATTCAGCCTCCAAGGGGTCCCAGAGAACTCGACAAGGCCAGGCACGGGAGGGCTACCATCACTGGCAGCGGAAGCGGCATCCGCGGGGCAGAAGGAGGGGGAGGAGTCGATATGACATACCTATCAAACTGCAAACGCACCACCCCCTAACGTTCACACTCCTCCAGCAAAGCTGCTCCTGTGGGCGTGTCTACACTCAAATCAATCCAAACATCTGAGGTCTCAGCGACACCATCCAAGCAGGCGAAGCCCAACGAACCAAAACATTGCTGGGGCCTCGCATGCCAGGAACAGGCGAGGAGGGCTAGCGATTCTACACTGCAATAAGCAGCACCTGCTCGGGAGGGACAGCTCAGAGCTGAGCTCCTTTCTCGGCCCAGGAGTCGGCAAGGCGATTTCCTTTCAGGCACCATTCCTCGTGGTCATTGGCAGCAGACTAGAGGGAAACGTGAGCCCTGACCTTGTGGACCTGGGCCTCGGAACCGATCCCCTCCCACAAAGCCTTCCGACAATGACGCCGATGGATGAAGCGGAGGAATGGAGGAGGAGCAGCAGGAGCAAGAGGAGGGGGATGAGGGGGAGGAGGAGGAGGAGGAGGAGGAGGAGGAGGAGGGAGGAGGAGGAGGAGGAGGAGGCGGGAGGGAGGAGGAGGAGGGAGGAGGAGGAGGAGGAGGAGGGAGGGAGGGAGGGAGGAGGGAGGGAGGGAGGGAGGGGAGGAGAGGAGGAGGAGGAGGAAGGAGGAGGAGGAGGAGGAGGACCACAACAGGGCGTGATCGCAGCCGATGCCCAGCCCTGCCCTCCCTGCTCTCTCGCCTTTTTTGTTCCCTACCTAGGCTCTGCCTAGAAGGGTTCTTACTCTCTAGCTTAAAGGGGCCGGGCAGTGCTACACGCCCCGGGCGGTTCCCCCAGTCCCCGCCCCGCGGTTCCCCCAGTCGCGCCCCCTTAGCTTGGCTTAGCTTATCTCGTCTTAGCTTAGCTTGGCTTAGCTTAGCTTGGCTTAGCTTAGCTTAGCTTAGCTTGGCTTACCTTAGCTTAGCTTAGCTTAGCTTAGCCTAGCTTAGCTTAGCCTAATGTAGCTTAGCGTAGCATAGCATAGCATGGCATAGCATAGCACAGCATATCATCACATAACACATTATTGAATAGCATAACTTAGCATAGCTTAGCATAGCGCCCCCTTAGCTTGGCTTTGCTTATCTCGTCTTAGCTTAGCTTGGCTTAGCTTAGCTCGGCTTAGCTTAGCTTAGCTTAGCTTGACTTACCTTAGGCTAGCTTAGCTGAGCTTATCTTAGCCTACTGTAGCTTAACTTAGCGTAGCATAGCATAGCATGGCATAGCATAGCACAGCATAGCATAACATAGCACAGTATTGCATATCATAGCTTAGCATAACTTAGCATATCATAGATTATTTAGCTGTAGCTTAGCTTTAGCTTAGCTGTAGCTTAGCGTTATCTTAGCTGTAGCTTAGCTTTAGCTTAGCTTTACCTTCGCTTTAGCTTAGATTTAGTGAAGCTTTAGCTTAGCTTTACCTTAGCTTTAGCTTAGCTACATCTTATCTATAGTTTAGCTTTAGCTTAACGTTCGTTCAGCTTTCGCTTAGCTTTATCTTAGCTGCAGCTTAGCTTTAGCTTAGATGTAGCTTAGCTTTAGCTTAGCTTTATCTTCGCTTTAGCTTAGCTGTACCTTAGCTTTAGCTTAGATTTAGCGTAGCTTTAGCTTAGCTTTAGCTTAGCATTAGCTTATCTTTAGCTTAGCTTTAGCTTAGCTTCAGCTTAGCTTTAGCTAAGTTTTAGCTTAGCTTTAACTTAGCTTTAGCTTAGCTTTAGCTTAGCTTGAGCTTAACTTTAATGTTACTACCAATGCTGCTTCCATGGGGGCTCCAACTCCTAGGTAGGGTCGCACTGGGATAATTCACCCCACCTCGCTGCAGGTTGGCCCCTGCGTGGAACATCCTGGCCATTATGGCCCCGACTAGATCGCCCCTTTGCGTCTGGGAGCGTTCGGCAGCGTCGGCTCCGATCCGGCTGCATCCGCGACCGCCGGGCCCCCGCGCCCGCGTGCCTTCCGCCCCCCCCGCCGCGGCCTGGCGGGGGGAGGAGCGTCGGCGACGACGAGACGAGCCCAGTGGCCAAGCTGCACCACGTCCGCCTGTACCGCAAGCTGCAGGCCCCGCCGATCCTGGCCACCTTGCTGGTCCGTGCGCCTGCTTCTGGGACATCTCTCTGGCCCCGCAGTGGCCGTCCCGCTTCGCCGGGGCCGGGCACGGCCCGAGAGGCTGGCAGAGAGGATGCCCGGGATGGTTTTGGGCGCCAGTTTTCGAGCGCGTTCGGACCAGTCGGCCGGACGGCAGCGGGGGGGCAACGAACGGGGGAGACTCGGGGATTGCAGGAAAGTGGCCCTGAAAGGGCCCCAAATGGACCCCAAACTGACACCGTGGGCCAGGAGGTGCGCGAGACGAGCTAGGAGGGCGGAAGTCGAAGTAAGGGCTGCCAGTTCGCGCAGTCAGCTTCGTGCCAGACAGGCATGGTTAGATTTCGGGGGGCGTCTTGTATCGTTGCGCTCTTCTCTTCCGTCTTCTAGCCGAGGGGGGGGGATGGCGGTGGGGCCCTCCCCTCCGCTAGAAGATGCTCGGCCAGAAGGGGACTGGGGTCTGGGTGGAGGGCCAGGGACCCGGGCTTGGATGCGGGGAGTTTTGGATCAGCATCGTCTAACTGATCCCCATCCTCATTGGACTATGATATCTCAGCCCCTCAAGTCCCCCCCCCAAGCAAGTGGGGATAGTTCCCGCGAAACCCGAAGGGAACACCCCACTCCCACTTAGGGGGTTAAGTCGGCCAGTAGGGCCAATGCCATGCCAGTTGGGATGGGGATCCGTCAGAGTTCTGCCCTGATGAATGTCTTCCCGCCACAACGGACGAGAACAGCACATACGAGCACTTGTGGCGGGTTTCCAGAAGCTTTGGATATGGACCTTTTGGGCAGTGCGCAGAAACATCATACCACGTACTACGTGGGGGTGAGGCGGTGGCGCATCAGTATCACATCTGGTCCTTGCGGGGCTGACAAGTGTCAATGTCTAGAGTTCTCGGTCCCTGCTGTCCGAAAACCATCACACAAGGTGTGGCAAGGACGAATTTCCTCGAGATGGCTTCGCACGTTCTAGAATGCACGCGCAAGACGCGGCGGTATACCGCAGTTCCATGCACCAGGCCTCGCACCTTACGTGCTCCTGGGGGCACGGCCACCAGATACCAGGGGTGGACGTAAACGGTGTTTTGGCGATTTCGCGGGCTGTTTTCGTTCCGATCTCGTTTTGCGGTAAAGGCGGACTGGAGACAAAACGAGGGGAAACGAGAACAAAACGAAAACGAAAAACACCGTTTAGGTTCAGCCCTGCCAGATACCTCCAGCGGCCTCTCCACGGTGTCCCCGTCAGCGTGGCGAGCACGCGCCAGGATGATTGCCGACCTGGCACTCGCGCGTGCCGGGGCCTTGCCGCCCCACCGCGGTCGGGAGCCTTGAGACGGGGGTCAATGCAAACGGGGGTCAGCCAGGGCGCCAGATCCTGCAGGATCCTGCGAAGACCCCGTCTGGCTGACCCGGGTTAGCGAGCCGCTCGTGGCCGCGAGGCGGCTTCGCATATTGGCTGACCTGGGTTTGCGAAGATCTGCGTTGCAGTTTTTTTTTCCTGCATTGCAGTTTTTGGTTTCCTGCTGACCCGGGTCTGGATTGACCCGGGTCAGAAGATCCCTGACGCGGCCTGGGCTCCACGAGCCTACCATTGAGTCGGGCACGTCCCTCTGCAGGGGGAGTATTCAAACATACTAAACAATAGTCGTTTTTTTTGGTTTTCTTTTCTCGATATTTTGGACTATTTTTGATTTTTCCTCCCAAATCCGCCTGTAGGAGGACACGCCCGACCTAAGCCTACCATCGTGGAATATCCATTTCGGCAGGGACGGCAACCGCTGCCGTGCATCCGGCCGCCCCGCCAGAGCGCTCTAGTGCTGAACGCGCATCGCCCACAGAGTGACCTCCCTCTCGGGGGACTCCCCAAGCCACGGGTCCTCGGCCTCCGTCGCCAGGTAGCCCTCCTCCTCTTCCTGGTCCTTGAACCAGCCATCCACCACCGACTTCTCCATCGGCTGTCCAGGCGCCAGCCCTGCAGTGCCGCCCCCGCGGTACTCGCCCGCCTGCCCTGGCGTCCATTTCTCCTTTTCGTCGTCGTCTGCACGTCGTCGCCGCCGCCGCCGCGTGGCCGCAGCGGCAGCAGCATGCTCGGGGGCGCCCTCGCGCGCTCCATCGTCACGCCAGGCCGGCGTGACCGCGGTGGCCCTGGCATCCCCCCCGGCGGCTGCCACACGCTGCGGCGCGGGGCGCCTGCCCGCACGACGGCAGCGGTGATGGCCGCGTCCGCGGGGGAAGCCGATGCCGCGCCGCCGGCGCCCGCCATCCCACGCACTCGTTATCGATGAGCCTGTTTTCCACCACCGCCATCATGAGTTTGGGGGGAGAAGGAGGAGGAGGGCGAGGAGGAGGAGGACGAGAAGGAGGAGGAGGAGGAGGGGGTGGAGGAGGAGGAGGACCCCACCCCCTTCAACTTGTGGTGGTGGTGGTGGAAAACACGCCTCTCAGTTATGATGTTCCAACCTGCTCTAGCCTTGGCCACCAGAAAGAATGTCGAGCACCAAGAGAGCACCGAAACTTGAGGGTTTTCGTGTGTCGGGCCCTGTGAGGCGATACTCGTTAGACACTATTTTTAATACTTTTTTGGGTGCTCGAAATAGTTTCTGGAATGTGGTCCGTCCGAAATGGGGTGGTTGCGGGGGCGGCCCAACGCGGGCGCGCACGCGCACTCGAGCTCCGCCTTGCGAGGTCACCTGTGTAAGCGATCAGTACGTGTATTTCTGAGATGCGCTGGCAACTCTGGTCGGGCTGTGCGCAGAGTTCAGCCTCTGCCGAGTCTGAGGACTGAGCGGAAGAGATGGAGTAGGATTTAGGACAACGATGATCAGCATGATAAGTACGAGTTGGAGGAGGGCTCTGATTCGGGACGACGTGGATAATGATGAAGATGACGAGTCTGCGGACGTGTGAAAAAACGGTGGATGAGAACATGGCCGACGCCGACGTGCGTAACACACATGCGGAGGAGATAGGAGCGTGAGGCGAAAGGGCAAGTTGATAATGATTATGAGCAGGATGGACACCATGACGATGAGGTGGATGAGGAAGATTGAGTGGAGGATGGGGAAGACGAGAATGAGGATAGAAACGAGTGGGGGTAGGAGGATGGATACGATTGGCTTGGAAGGAAGAGCACCCTCAGCCGCCCTCTTTTGCGAGCGATCATGGATCTCTTCTCTCCCCCTCCTTACCCGCAGGCCAACTGGCAGTCCTACGATGCGTACTCCCGGGTGTGCATGGCCCTAGGGACACGTCGGGCTGCACAAGCTGAGCGGGTGCGAAGTTGCAGGAGGTCGTGAGGGAAGAGAGGGAGGAATCGGACCAGAGTAAGCGAAGGATGCATCAGCGATGCTGCAGTACACCCTCCCCGTCCCGAGTCCCCCTCACGGCAAGAAGCGCCCCCCCCCTTGAAAGTCCAGCACAGCTGAGGCTGCGATTTTGGCGAGGGCACCGTCATGAAAGGAATTGCCTTGCATGTTTCTGGCGCGTAGTCATGAACGAGATGCACGTGGCCAGCGATGTCCCAGTTTCGAAGAAGAGCCGCTCCTTGCACGTGTATGACTGTTGCACAAGTTTGCGCCCGTGGTCATGCACTTCGCGGAAGTTTCAAGCGGCAGCTTCATTTTGTAGAAGAGCCGCCTTGTATCCGAGCAGCGCTGCATGTGTTGCATCTTCGGGTCTTTCATATCAGCGAAGTCGCAAGCGAGGATCCTATTTGGAAGAAGAGCAGTTCTCCATCCAGCTAAACTTTGCATCAGAAAACGAGTGCGTGCGGTGCTAAGGCAAGAGCCCCATTTTGAAAACGACTAGTTCTCAATTCTTGACGCTGCTACAAGATTTCGCAACAGAAACTCGCGGACCCAGAGCGAGAGCTCCACTTGAGAAGGAACCGCGCTCCATCCATGAAGCTGGTGCACGCTCTTTCGACGAATGTGCGCGGCGCTAAGACGAGAGCCACATTTGAAAACGACCCTTCCCTCCATCTGTGAACCGGTTGCAAACGTGAGATTGACTTCTTGAAAACGCCCCCCTCGATCCGTGAAGCTGTTGCGCATTAGTACGACGAGTGTGTGCGGTGCTAAGGCGAGCGCCACATTGTGAAATGGAACCGCCCTTCACCCGTGCGTTGATTTCGAACTTCATGACGAAGGTACGCGGCGGTAAGGCGAGAGTCTTTTTTTTGGAAATGCCCCCCCCCCCCCCCCCCTCTCCATCCGTAAACCTGTTTCATCCAGTTTTTAAGAATATTGTGCGCGGCGCCAAGACGAGAGCAGCAAAAGTGTCCCCCCTCCATCCTTGGAACGTTTGCAAGTTTTTCACACTTCGCGAGTCCCCACCAGCCCATCCAGAAACGATGCCCAGGCGAGTTGACTTGAACAGGATAGTGCAGAATCATGCAGCGAAACAAATTTTGGATCAGCCTGATCAGGCCCAGGACGAGGACGAGAACGAGGAGGATGATGATGAGGAGGAGGACGAGGCGGAGGAGGATGATAAGGGGAACGAGGACGAGAAGGATGTCGAGGAGGAGGGGGGTGAGAAGGAAGAGGAGGGCGAGGAGGAAGATCATGAAGACGATGAGGAGGAGGAGGAGGAGATCACAGGGAGATTACAGCAGAACCCCAGTCAGCATCGATGACACATCTGGTTAGCAACGCCTCCCCTGAGGAAGGCGGCTCTCAGTAGACACTACTTCGGAGACTTATGCATAAGCTCTGTGCTCTGCACCCCCCTGCCCTTCATGCTACTACACAGCAAGCTGCTCTAAAACCCCTGACTGCTGTCCGCGTTCCTGTCAGAGCTGCAGGCAGGACTGCTACACGAGAGAAATGGCTGGCCCGTACACGGGTGAATCCAAACAAGTCGGAAGACCAACACACACTTGAGTAGCAACATACACGCATCAACCCACGATATTCCCAGAGACCTCAGCCTGACGTTCCAGTAACCCTGACGAGCGACGGACAAGGAACACATACTGTACATATGAGACACAGGCAGGCGACCCCTTGAACAAAGAAGACCAACCCATATGTAAAGGTAGCACCTCAATGTTTGATCGGCAAAGATTGACAACACGTACACATGTTGCCGCCTTGACCCCACCAGGGCGCAAGCTCGCACGTGCAAAAACAAATTTGAACGACGCCGAACAAAGCCCCAAGCTGAATAAGATGCCAACGCTGTAGAACTGCTGGCCCTTGCACGGGTGAATCCAAGACAGGAAAATCAACGAAACTAACTTGACAAACTGCCCCACCAAAGCATGAACCATAAATTCTGACGTAGCCCCAGAGTTGCACGGCTCAGCGTACGGTCGGCCAGCACGACCATCATTTTCCACCCATTGGCCACCAAACTTGAGGCATGCAAAACCCAGCCCATGGGATCCAAATTCAACAACCCGACCGCCTGGAAGACGGTCACGATGAACACTGAGCCACGTAGCCCTTGAGACCCATCTTGGCTTGGCCCAGGAGCACGAAATAACAGGGATGAAATCAACCAAACATACTCGACAAGACACTGCCCGCACGGAGTGCATGAGGAGGAGGAGGAGGAGGAGGAGGAGGAGGAGGAGGAGGGAGGAGGAGGATGAGGAGGATGAGGAGGATGAGGAGGATGAGGAGGAGGATGAGGAGGAGGAGGAGGAGGCGGAGGCGGAGGCGGAGGCGGAGGCGGAGGCGGAGGCGGAGGAGGCGGAGGAGAGGAGAGGAGGAGGAGGAGGAGGAGGGGAGGGGGAGGGGGAGGGGGAGGAGGAGGAGGAGGAGGAGGAGGAGGAGACCAGTGGTGAAATTTTTTGACCACGAGCGGAGTGCAGCAAGCAGCAAGTGTAGTTAGCTAGCTCCCGCCTCCCGCCTCCCCGCAGGTCGTCGCGACGACATGTCGGAGACCATCGAGCAGGTTGCCGAGCAGTACAAGAACGCAACTACGCAGGAGCAGAAGCTGGACGCCATGTTCAGCGCGGTGATGCTCACCAACAGCACCGTGAGCAGCATCTCCACACGCACGGAAGCGCTTGAGACGGGCATGACGGATATGAAGGGCTCGGTCGCCAATCTGAACACGGAGGTCGCCTCCCTGAAGCGCCGTATGGATGTGTGCGAGTCCCGTGGAACCGGCGCCTCGGGCTCCGGCGAGTTTGGTGGAGTGCAGGGTGGCCCAGCCAGCAAAAGGATGGCGGATCCAGAGCTGCGCCTACCAATCCCGATGAGGACGACGGTCATTATGGGGGGCTTCGATCCGTACACCGAGGATGAGGAGATGAAGGAACTTCTAAAAGGAACGTGGGATACAGCACAGGGAAAAGTCAAGGAGGCATGGTATCCTAAACATGGTCGGATCTGTAAGTGGAAAATCAACACCCCCAGTGACATGTGGGACTTAATTGTGAAGTTCAAGAGCGGAGCAATTCAGATCAAGACGCATTCGGGGGCGATATTGCATGCCACATTTAACAAATCCGAGCAAGAGCAGCAAGATGGTCTACACATGAAGTGCCTTCTTCAGACGTTCCGCGAGCTCACGCCCGTGGTCAACGGCCAAGAGATCTTCAAACCGGTGTGGGAGAAGAAGCAGCTGGCCCGGGTGACAAAAGGCCAGCCGAGGGGAGAGGTGGTTCAGGTCAAGGGTGACCAGGGTGACGACATCGAGTTTACGGTGTTCGGCAAGACCCTGTTCAACGAGACCCAGCAGTCCGCGATCCAGAAGAAGTACCAGGAGACCTTGAAGAGCTATCGGGACCGGCCGCGTCCCTAACGAGCTCGGCACAAACACCAACTTGAAGATATTCTCGTGGAGTATCGGGGGTTTGAGTTGGAAGAATATGAGTATTTTTTGGACAATCTAGCTGAATTCGGTATTCAGTGGGACGTGTTCCTGCTACAGGAGGCCGTGCTTGGCGAGCCTGGCGATGACGATCAAGCGTCCCGTATAGTGAAGGTGCCTGGACATCAACAGGTCTGTATGGCAACTGGAGGAGACAGGGTGGTTCATGGTTGTTGCATTCTTCTACACAGCAGGCACACCCGTACCAATTTGCAAGAGCCGGTAATACACAATCATTTTCTCATCAGTACGCGAGTCGAGTTACACGGTGTTCATTTTCAATTATTTTCTGGTTACTTTCGTCAGCCGAAGGATTGGCAAATCGTCATCGACAGGCAGCTCCGGGAACTTAGCCGTGAGGTGCGGGCTGTCAAGCTCGCGGCTGGCACGAAATCAGACACTGTCGTTGTGGGCACAGACTTGAACGGACATGTTGGTGGGGCTTTGGATCCAGACGAGCTGTGCACGGTAGGGCCGCACGGGTGGGGGGCCAGGGACGTGCGAGGCCAACGCTTCATGACAACTTGCCGGCAACGACATATGTACATAGCGAATTTGTCCGAAGACGTGCGCCCACCACAGAGATGGACTCGTATGCACAATTCGGAAGGCACGGCTGGAAGTCTCATTGATTATTTGGCCGTCTCGTGCCCGTCCAAGGTGCGCCGGTGCCAGGTCGTGGACTTGCCGGTGGAGAGATCGGACCATCGGCCTATCGTGGCGGAGATCTCCCTGATGAAGCCGGCCAGGCAGCAACACCCCAGAAAACCAGTCGGGTGGAAGCCGGTGAATGAAACGACGTATGTCCATGAACTTCAAAGCCAATTGGTGGATTGCAAATCTGTGAGAGCATTCGGACAAATCGTGGCCGAGGTAGCGCGCGCCCATGGGGCTCGAAGCCGATCAAATCGGCAGCGCACTCGGGAGGAACGATTCTGTTTAAACGTGCTTCACAAACTGTGGAACCAGACGGAGCCGGAGAAACGATTTATGATCGGGAAGTTGATTACCATCGAGTTGGGGAAGCTGCGGAAGCAGATCGCTTCTAGGAAGAGCGCGGCCATTCTCGAGTCCCCGGGCAACGCGCGAATGGGAGGGACCAGACAGATGTCATCGATCATTGCCTTCAAAGATGCGGAGGGCAATCCCATCAATGACAGCTCCCGTATACGCCAAGATTTACATGATCATTTTCAGCAGAGGTACGACGCACCTACATGGGAGGCGCCTGCGTGGATCTGGCAACGCAGAGAAGCAGACCAGCAGACCACAATCACGTGGGAACATATGTTACTTTCGATCGAGGGGGCGTCTTTGGGAAAGTCGTGCCCTAGTACCGAACCAGTCGTGGTGGAGATGCTCAAGCCCTTGCTCCTGGCCGCCGCCAATAGCGAGGTACAGGGGTACATGCTGCCGGAG